TATAGTTTAAAAAACCGACACAAAAGCTGACTTTTATACCCTGAACACAAATCTCCAACATTAGAATCTTCTCCCACTATTCTGGTGTTAAGTTTTATAATAAATAACCTGCGTGATTCGAATAAATCTGCGGCATCCCTCAAATCGTTTGAAAACAGTTATTTAAGTCTTTATGCAATAAATGCTGTTATAAGGTAATTTATTCCACTGACTCTTGTACAGTATTATTTAGATATTTGTTTTGTCAAGATTATTGTTTTGTAATGACACTATTCATGTATATTGTGTACATAATGAATAACGGGTAATTTTATTTGATTGGTTTGATTTGATTTTATACTAGCATGGGCAGGTAATTAATTATTAAGTTATGTCTTGGTTGGCTACTCAGCCAAGTTTATAAAAAAAGGACTTTTTATTATAACCTTGTACTCAGCCACGAGTGGTTCGAATGTATCTTATGATACAAGTTATTTAATAAATAACATTAACTTTAATGTGGAGGACGTTTAATATTACACAAAGACTAGTTCGTCACTAGTATGATCAGCTAACCAGTACTGTATACATATTTTTGGTTTTGTAAATAGCTAACTATAATCAATAGCTATATCCGAACCTATATGTTTATTTTATTGCTGGTAGTAGTTTGTGGTAATCTAAGATAAAATAGCTCAGCATCCGGAAAAATGGAAGCTAATACCTTTCTTCAGAGATAGAAATTAATTGGTTTGCATTTCCTCAGAAAACTATTGTAAGCTGATTGATTACAGTAACCTAATGATCAGCTTTACACACATTAGCAAATCAGCTAGGTTCACACATTTTGGAACAAAAAGGTGAGGTCGTTAGGCAACAGTTCCGCCAGTGTATTTGATTTGTGGACACTTTGCATAAAACTGGTACTTCAAGCTGGGCAGTTTGCCAAGGGCGTGTACACTGTACAGTTATACGGTTATACCAAGCAATCAGCGTGCTCCTGGTCAGTGCCATAGTATAAAAATATTATCATATAGAGTGTATGGAATATTCTCCATCACGTAGTATATTTCATCATTAGGGTGAAAAAAATACTCCTTTCGACCAAAGTTTGAATAAGTGAGGGTTGAAAGGCACTTATTCCCATGTTACTGAGCTACATTTTTAATCAAAAAAATTTTTCATGCAAAATTAATTAACCAAATGAATAAATTCTTACTTGTTTTCAATTTTGCGAATGCAAATAAACAGCGGGTTAGTGATTCAATCAATTCGTCTATAACGATGTTTTGGAAGTAAAATAGCTACTTTAATTCCGCAACGCATGTACTTATTTTAAAAACGACTGTTTTTGCTGCAGTATGACAAACAATTATTTTTGTATGAATCAATAAACCAAAAAATTGTTAGGTATTCTAAATAAAATGTTAACTCACAATCCGTTATATAAAGCTGTCAATGTAATCAGAATGTAGTTTTTTTCCAAACAATCATAAGTGTGCGAAATTATGTTGGGTTTCAGGATGAATTAAACAGTAGGTACCTATAAAGTTGCTTTTGTTGTACAAAAGCATATCCATGTTAGCTTCATAGAGAATAGGAATATACAACGATGTTGCCACACAAGGTTTAAAATCTTAAAACTTTCTTAATATTTACTACTGTTTTAGTACATGTTAAGCTTGTAAATCATTGCTATATGTACTTAAAAAGACATAATAAAAAAAAACCTTTTTAGCAATAAGTCACGCTGTGATTACGTAAATAAGTTGATTTCCAAATCAATTATGATTTTAGTAAACAGTATCCACTCGTAACAAAAACAGGCGAAACAGTAAATTGATTTATAAATAATTGAAGTAAATAAGCAAATCTTGATATTGTTCACCAAACCAATTTATTTATTTATTTATTTATTTTATTTATTTATTTCCAACGGCAGCAGCCAATTTACAAAGACAAGAATAGATGGTAGAATACAGCTGAAAATTGAAATTTATACAATCAGATGAAAAATCTACATAAAGTTACAAAATAGGTATACAAAAATTTGATAATATATAATAAGTTTTCAAAGATATACAAGTTATAAATATCTAAAACATAAAAACAACAAAAAATAAAGATTAACAAAAAACATTATTAACTCAAGGATGGAAACAACTCAAAAAACTTATTTAAATAAAATGTACTTTACATAAAAAAACAACTTAAGTATAGGTAGATATCAACAACTGTAGAATAATAAATTAAAATATAGTATAATAATTAACAAATAACAGTAGAAATTCAATAAATACAACATACAATACAATGATCATGCACTTAACACAGCTTAAAGCTAACTAGGTCTTAATTTCTAGTATTTCACAGAAAGAAGAAGAGAGGAGGCCTGCCGACGAACCTGGTGAAGTCCATCGAAGAACAGGTCACACCCAGACGCAACTTGATTTCCCAGGCGAATAAACCTTGCGAAAGGACTGTTGAAGTCGAAGTTGGTTGAGTGGTATCTTCAACCCAGCAGATCTCGAGATCTTGTGTTTGTAGGAACCCTGAGGTCGATTTCAGCTAGGAGATCTGGACAGAGGTGACGTCACGTCGCAGGGCAAGAGGTGACAAGTTCAGATTGCTGGACAGTTCCTCCACAGGCACATCAAGATAGGCAAAACCCAGCCGGACACCAACCAAGCGAAGAAAACGCCTTTGTAGAGCCTCCAGTCTCGTCCCATTGCCAACAGTGTAAGGCGACTACACGAGACTTGCATATTCCACAAGCTCAAGGGAACAATATAGAGAGCGAAGAGCAGAAGGGTTGTCGATGCCTCTGGACCAACCAATGTTGTTAAAATACTCGTAATTACACCTATCTAATGACGACCATTTGTATTTTACTAGCTGACTGTCTGACGAGGTTATATTGAAATATTTGCACGGATTTCACTTTAATTTTTCAGTTTAAGATTCATTAACATCAATATTACTGAAACGAGATTACGTAAGAGCTAATATAATTAATTAATAAAGTTACATCTTAAAAGTACTGCTGGAATTTATGGTAAGACAATGTTGGTTGGTGTGTTTGGTAGTATCATTACCTTTAAATCAAGATAGCTTAAGAATGGTCAATTGAACAACTATGATGGTATGCACATTACAGAACGTTATAATCCAGTTTGAACAGGCCTATTCTCTAAGCTAGAGATAAAAGCTATGAGCTATAATTATTGTAGTAGAGTCAGAAACAAGCAGCAAGTAAGAAGATTACTTGTAACGACGATAAGACCTTTACAGAGCCATTCCGTTTGCTTATTTGGCTATTTACCATGTACAATACTAGTACCATTTACATTCTATAGTGGGTGAAGTGGAACTATACTACTCGTAGTTGGTTTAAAATATAAAACTATTCAACCACCATTCAAATATAAAACATTATACGGCACTTATACGTTGAATCCAAGTCTTATTATGTATGCATATTAGATGGTTTTACTTTGTATTTTAATGTCATAAAAACACCCTACAGGGCTAATAAAAAATATAGACCCAGTTTCGGGACTTTGTTTCTCGAAAAGTATAAATCGGAAACAAATATTATGTTTTACATCGTTGGAAAGAGATAATTTTAAAATGTTTTTACACTAATTAAAAATGCTCAATGTATGCCCCCTGAGCTGCATAGCAAACATCTAAGTGATAGCTAAATTCGTCCTCCACACCATAGAGCACATCTTGTGTCATAAATTTCTTGAAATTGTCTAAACCGAAACCAGAAACCAACGAGTTATGCTAATTAGTCAATGGTTGATTACCTAATTCGTGGTGAATAGCCTACTGCACTGTAATAGTAGACAAAATCTGTCACACAGAAAGTCTTATGTTGCATGGTAGGCATCTTACTAACAACAGATGGTAAAACAAGAGCTGCCCCATTGTTGCAATACATTTTTTGGCCGTTTACAAAACTATGGTTTAAAGATTTTGGAATTTTATAATGGTGTAAAGTTTATGTCTGTCCGATTTATATTTTTTGAGATACAAAGTCATGAAGTTGGGTCCATAATTTTGAATAGCCCTGCACATTAAAAATACTTGTTGATTGTTGTTTTTGCACAATTGTTTATGCTCTTTGTCGTCTCGAGAATGATTTTTTTTGCAGCTATATTTAATTCTTTGGTAATTGATAACCTGCATTATAATTGGTTGAGGTTATTTAATTACTTTTGCTAATATGAAGGGAATGGGTTAAAATAAGTCACAAGTAAGTTGATGAAAAATGTATTTTTAAATTTATACAAACTTGAAATGCATATCGAATTCGATTGTATTACAATTCAGTACAATTATTAACAAAATATAAAAATATACTATAGAACAAAACAAATATATACATAACACTTGCTGTTAGATAATGGTATAGTTGTAGATAGAGCGTTTATTTTTTTACCACCGGCGTATGAAGTTGAATGCACAAAACACACAACCAATCTTCATGATCCTAATTCGAAAATATGTTAAATTACTAAACCGAAAAAAGTATTGTCCTTACGTCAGTATATTTATATAAGCTGAAATCTTTAATTCGCCCACATAATTGAGAGTATAGTAAATAATTTCGTACTGGAGACAAGCAAAGTTAACTCTTTACTACCAAGCCATTTTCATTGAAATACTCTTACAGTTATCATTCTAACTATTGGACGGCACTATAGCAATACGCAACCTATGATAAACTAATAGTTAAGTAATGACTCCAAGTAATCCTAATTAAACTGAGAAGATGTACTTTTAATAGAAGAGGCTCTAAATAAATAGTTAGGTTAGTTATAAGGTAGGCCTAAAATTGAATATGTGAATTTAATTATTGTTTATAACGGGTGAACAAATATTTTCGCCGTGCACAAAGGGCAATGCCGTGGTAATTAGGATAGAATGATATTTTTGGTCTATTTTAATAAGCCTACTTTATTTGGCAATAACAATAGTTACATAATTTGTCTAAGGGTATATAATACTGTTTGTTTCATAATTTTATTAAATAATAGTCTTTACAGTCGTGATGTATCGATTTCGCTAGGCATTTGGCGCTTTTAAATTATTGAGCAAAATACAAGATTTCTATGTATTAAAGAGCGTATTTTACAACCGTTGAATGGTTCATCGCTAGAAACCTCAAGAAGGGCTAATATTAAAAGTCAAAATGTTACTAAATGTATCACAGTCGGGGGTGGCTAGAGAATCTCACTGGTGGTCCAGGGTCGCTCGTGGGGTCAGAGGTGTGTAGACAATCTGGAGGTCTCGGGACGGAGGCGGATGACGGTGGCGGGCACCCCCAGCATGCTATCGTCGGCGGCGGCGGGGGCAGACGGGGGCGGCGTGGGGGCGGCGCCCATGCGGCGAGGCAGTGTCGCGGCCTGACACTGGAACGTGACTCTGCGGGGTTGTCTCGGTGGTGGAAACTCCGATAGTTCCACGGTACGAGGGAAGGCGGGCTGTGGAAACGAACTCACTATAGTGGTGTGAAAGGTTCAAACAAAATATAATTTAATAAAACCCCCATATTTGAATCTTTGGTATGGGTCTGAATTAAAGATCAACTCTTGCCATACTTTATAGTATACTTAAGAAATCATTTTACAAAAAACTAAAGTATTATCATTCAAAAAGTCCCTACACACGAATTGCATATGATATTTAAATAAATATTAACTTTTTTTGCAAAGAAACTTTATGGGCCTGCGTTAGATAAACATTTGTTTCCTACATATGATTATTTCCTAATATCCATTTACGCAAATAAAAGTTATAAGCGGTCATCAAACCAGTTCAAAAACGAGTCATTGCTTAATGACATTTAATATTATTTTCTTTTCTCTCTAATACAATTAGCTATCAGTGGCGAAATAGTATAATTGATTAGATGTTGTTGTTTGTCCGGCCTTGTTCATTGGCTTGAGTCTAGTATATAATCTCTTCAACATATTTCGTGCAGAATTCATACTGCAAAAATAATATATTTTTCACGTGGGATTAATATGAAAAACAGATTTTAAAAATGCCATTTTAAATGGAATTACTAAGTAGAGGATGTTTTTTTAATCTCATATGTTATTAGAGACATTTTTATGAAATTTTATCCCTTGTCAATTGGTGGTCCTAGCTTTGTCTTTTAACATTGGCTTCTAAGATACATACCAGCACTAAGTGTTGAAATATTCCCTAAATCAGTCTAGTCAGCTCAGCCTGAACCTGGTACCGACTCAATTAACAAATAAATGACAATAATTCATTATGAACTCTAGAAACCCTGAATAAAGCTAATATTCTAATTATTCAACAAGATATTTTAGCTCATTAGGTAAAATACTCACCTTGATAGGACTGCTGTTTTCACTATCAGGACTAAAATAGAAACTTAATTTGCTTTTTTGGAACATAGATTCTTCTGATTCCGTGAAATCTGAAATAAAGTAAATATTTAATCATAAAGTATCAAATAAGATGAACAGATACTTTAATGTTATAACTTTTGCTTTCAATGGTAGTTTATATTTTTTTGAAAAAGTACGCTAACATGGTTAGTTTTAAACATATTCAACAACGGAACATAATCCTTACCCTCTAATACAAAATGTTATAACTAGTATGTTGCTTTAATATTAATATGACAAAGAGTTATCTTATTCAAATTCTATTCTATTTATTTGTTCGTAACAAAAGAAATTCAATAGTAGACATATCGTCAAAGGAGTGATACTTAACGAACTACAGCATTTAACTATCATCAGTACACAGGTTGCTGTATTGTCACAGCTATGATTTTCCAGACATATATTCTACAGAACCAATGAAACACTTAGGTTTAAGATTGATAATCCAAAGATTTAGATATATAAAACTTTAGTGTTTTAAACTCGTATTCAAGATTTTGAATATTGTAATAGATTATGTCCCAGAGTACAGACTTGCATTGGCTACAAGTTGATTGGCATTTTACAAGGTGTTGTTCCTGCAAGGTTAGCTTAAATGGTTGGTCGTTTTGCTTGAGATCATAAACTGACCTTCCTTTTGGGGAATAATGTCAGGATTCTTGTCCAGACTGTCCACGCTGTCACTGGAGTGGCTGGTGCGAGAGTTGGTTTGGAGTGTCTTCTTGTCCACGAGGGCCACCCTCCGTAGTCTGATGACGACCGAGATGGCAATGATAATACACAACAGCGTCAACACAGCGCCAGCCAACACGCCCAGCATAGGAGTCACATGCATCATCCCTGGAGAGATCACTGAAACACGTCATCATCTACCGTCACGTAACCAATGAGCTTAATATTTAATCCTTAAAACAACCCATGCCTTGTTATAGAGTTACTTTGACCCTTATACAGGACTTTCTGAAAAAAAAACACACACACATTTATGAATAAATTTAATAGGTCAAAATAAAACAAAAAACACGAATTATTTTTTTTTATTCCTATTCAGCAGAATATCCGCCATTTTTTTTCTTTTTTTAATTTATATATGAAAAATATTTAAGGTATGTTTGAAAATTATGTATAAAGTTGTAGTTATGTAATACGTTATAATCTATTTAAAGAAAACTTATAAAAAAAAAGTTTAAATTTTTTTTAAATGGTAGCTAGTTTGATTTTCATAGCTTGATTAATTTTAAAAACTGCTTATTATATGAAATTTTTCTTAGAAAGTTTTTATTTAGCATTTGAAACCCCTTTTCTAACAACACTAAATTTAAAAATCTCGAATTATTTAGAGTGTTGATAGTTGATTAAATTACATCGAATTATAGATAACTGAATATCAACATTTTAGTTGTACACGCCCTGCAAAATAAAGCGAAGCATTCAGGGTTCACCTAAATTAGTGCCCAAAGTCGTAATGCATCGGCTGGTCATTATTAAAATCTTTTAGAACTTGGTATAGTTTTATGAAAAGTTTTAAATGGTAAATTAATATGTTCTTGGCAATTTTTCATAAAATATATTTTTCTAGGTAATTTTAACTAAACATTTAATGACCACCATACAAATTTATTTTTTGTATTTTATTTTTTGTAATAGAAATGTTACACCAAAATTAAGGATATTGGTAACAGTTTTTGGGATTTTAATTTTAAACAAAAAAAATTGTGGATATCTTGATAACGAGGCATTTTTGAAATGAATGTTATTCTTGACGTTCGTTTTATTTAAATCCTTTAAGCCTATTCTAATTTTTTTTTGTACTTACATAGGTACACCATGTATATTGAATAATGTATACATAGAAGCCAATTATGCTTCTATTAAATTTAAATCAATGATGTTTTAAATAATATAATTACTCTCGCTTTTCATCTAGTGTGCACTTATATAATTTTCTTTAAACTTAGTTAGGAGGTTGTGATCCTAATAAAACTTCAACTATCCAAAAACAAAATTAAAAATTGCTTTGGATGTACCTGAACGACGGGCCGCAGAACGCAGAGTGTAAGCATGGAGCAAATGTGGTCTGCTTCTGCCTTTGTTGTTGACAGAATACAGTACCAAGTCGAGCTCTAGGCCGGAGGGGAGTCCGGTCACGAGAAACGCCGGACTTCGAGATGACACGTTGTTGACGAGAGTCTGGTCTAGACCGTCGTAGATCTCCATGACAAACAGCTGGGGCAGACCTCCGTCGTAGCCTGGGTCACACTCTACCTCCAGCATCTCTGCCGTCTGGTTGGCGATAGTACAGTTGCCCAGAGGATCTGGTCTGCCTGCTGTAACACAGGATACCATATACTACTGGATCAGTATGTTGTCAGAACCATAGCCAAACAAATGTAGATCAATTTAAAAATGTGTAATTATTAACCTAATCATGAACCATAGGTACGTTGTTTTTAGTTTTTTATCTATATAATTAATACGCTATGTGAAACTTTGTCGGTTGAACTCCTCCGCCATTTCTTGACCGATTTTATCCATTGACGCCTCATTGGAAAGAGCGTGTCGCGTAGATTTGCAAACTGGCCTTACATTTTTTAAGTTAAGTTTTTAAGTTTAAAGTCCCTTGGGCTCTGCCCCAGTGGCTTTGAAAGTTCCCATGTTATCCTTATGGAGAACACAATTGTTTACATTTTGATCAGCTGTATAATTTAATTGCTGTTATTTATTTTTCAATTCAACGAGCGCATTGGGTACATTTACTGATTTTGTTGAAATGTTTACTACTTTAATTTACATTCGTACATATTACATTGTGAAAAATCGAGAAAGCCTGGGCAATTTTATATATTTGACCATATTAGAAAAATGAATTGACAGGGTACTGTATTTCTTGAGCAATCATTGAAAGAACCGATTTTTTTACCATGGAAACATAGGAAAGTCATAGAACGCCACCAAGTAGAAGAAATAGAGATAAAAAAAAACATTTACTATCGTTATCCCACAAACAATGTACAAGGATGATTCATAGCCGAAGTGCTACTAATTTTGTAGGAAACACGGACTTAACTTTAAGATGATTGGCAAAGGAAAACACTCTACGCTTGAATTAAACTGGTACGGACAGGACATTAACTATATGTTTTCATAAAAGTCAAGTGATTTTAAAATAATATGACTACATACAGGAAACCTTAATAAAACTTTCACTGAAGGATTTGCATTTTTCACATTACCATCTGAACAACATTAGGCCTTTCAATTCTGAATTTTTTTTAGGTAAATAAAACTTACGTTATAACAGTAACTAGCCAAATTAATGCCAATTGAAGCAAATAAAATTGTGACAGAGAGGTTATGCAGAAAATCAGGCAGTTCTTAAGTAATGTAAACAAAATATTATCGCTCTAAAAAAATGACTGAAATTTGTAAACGTACTGGCGACAACGGGTATTACTATGCAGACTACATTATCATTGACGAAGATCAACATGTACAACTTAATGCGTCTATAAGTGCAAAAGATTTGTAGAATACACTGAAAAACCAGACCAGCTTTTGAGAAATGATAAAATATTTACAAGAAATTTTGATTATATGGAACTGTTAGGTACGTAATCTATGAGTTGAGTCTTTTAAACTCATCGGAAATTATGACTTTTATTCGTTTTTAAATAAGTTTTTTTTTTGCTGTAACTACTTTACTTCTTTGCAATTGCTCGATTTCGAGCAACATGTACACTAGTAAGCCATTAATATAACGTTCTTAAGTTTACAAGTCCAGGCTTCCAAACAAATTGTTAAAACTTAGATCAAAGTGAACTCTTTATTAGTTTCTAAGTTTGATGGACAATAAAGATGATGGAGGTGAGTACTTTGTAGTTGTTTCCCTGATAATGGTAAATTGATGTTTACTTTGAAGTTTGAGATCTAATATGTTTCCAGCTTAAGCAATAAACAAACTTAAGTAAAAATGTTCTACTCGCTCAACTTTAATATTACGTTTTTTAACAATGCACATGTCTATAAAAGTTTTTTTTTTGCAAACAACATTTGTATGTAGAACATGAGGTGTTTTTTTTATTCTAAAGTTCTTGCTTCAGGCACTTTGAATATCAAATTAAATATTAGAGTAGATAGAATCCAATTCAAAGATGCAAGACTCATATTTCTCTGTTATACCCGTTCCTAAACTGCTTAAAACCAGGAAACTTTTCACCAGAAAACATCCCTTGGTGTGTTCTTTGTTTCACATATAAGATAACATATTTTAAACTTCAATGAAGAAAAGGATTCGTAAAAAAGTTTTCACGTTACTAAATATCGTATGGAGTACAATGTAAATCGGTATACACGGTTATATTTATTCAAACAAGACGTTGTGTGATTTAATTAACTGTATCAATCCTCAAAAAACACACTACAACGCTCGCCGTTCTCTCTACTACCTTGAGGCACGACACTGTAGACGCAAGGCTCCAGCTGGGTGCCCAGCTCGTTGTGAGCCCAGCACAGCAGGTTGCCAAAGTCCCAGTCGTGGATCGGGGTGTACGCCACGGTGCTGCGGGTCTTGTCTAACGTATACTGGCTCTCAGGGATGTCCACTGTCTCGGCGGAGTTGTTGAACCTCCAGGTGAAGTGGACTGTGGCGGGATTGGCTTCTACCTCACACGTCACGCGCGTCACCTCCTGTCTCGCCGCACCCAACACTCTCAGTTGGCCCGGGCGACACACGGGCACGACTGTAACATTTAAAACACAACAATTCAACATTTAAAACAAATGTAGGTGTTATGCCAAGCATCCAGTTATTTATCTTAGATACATTTGAGTATAGCCGTACAAGCCAAATTTAAATGCAATAATAACTATTTGTAGTCTAAAAATACGTTTAATACGATTATTTAAGAATCAAGTACATATGTATGTATTTAAGAAACCGTGTTAGCAATTTGTTTAAACAATATCTTCAAGCCTTTAACAATCTATCTATCTATCTATCTAACTATCTATATACTATTAAAAAGAAGAAGTGGTGTCTGTATGTCTGTATATGTATATCTCTCTCTCTCTCTCTCTCTCTCTCTGTGTGTGTGTGTATGTGTGTGTGTGTTTTTTTTTTGAGCTAAACTAAAAAACTACTGAACCGCCTGGGCTCAAATTGGACAAAAATAAAGCTACCGCTCCGAGGATACATATAGAAATATATCCGCTTCGATATTGACCTAGTACTCTTCCCCACGGGCTTTCAAAGTTCTGAGGTGAAAGTTTTAAAAATAAATACTGATTAGTCTCCATGTTAACAAAGAACAAAACCCAGAATGTTTAAATGTTTAAAGAAGCAGAACTGTCAAATTAATTTTGATTTCACATTTCCACACAGCTCGTTCAGACATATTAAATGGGCACTGCACGAATATTAGAACAGAAAGGGTATGGATCATAAAGAAAAAAATATGTCACTCGCCCGAATGTAAACATTATTTAATACTACTAAAATTGAATTGTCAATAGTTTAGGATTATTTTAGTTATGTCAATTGCTTATGTGAATGAGCTATACTGTGTATGTTCTAATGGACTTGAAATGCTGAAATAATATTGTACAAGGAATAAGTCATTGTAAAAGAAATTATTCATGGATATAGGAATTAATTAAGATTCTAGAATCATTGCCGTAACAAACTAGGCTCTTACCCTGAGTTTTATGAGGATAATTTTTTAGATATATTTTTGTATAACAGTAATAAAATACCCCAGCCACAGCAAAATTGCAGACTAAGCTAATTTCCATTTACCTGATTATAATTTTACTAAAATTTGTTAGAAAATTACAATGCAGCCAGGTATGAACCATGTTGATGGCTTTTCGTTTACAGTACGAACCATTAAACATTTTAATTGATTATACCTTTAAAATCTTTAAAAATACTTGTAATAATAATACTTGTAATAATAATCAATAATAATAATAAATATACAAGAAAAATATTTATATCGTTTACTGATTACAAAACATGTGTATTAGTTAGTTAGGTAGAAGTATTTAGGTATGAGGTATTAGGTAGTTATTAGTAAAATTAAGTAGTATAAATATTATTAAATTATTTTGAATGTTTTTCCATTGAAAGATGTCATTTATGTATTAAAACTGCCATATTTACTGTACTTAGTTTTGTCTTGATTAGGCACATAATTATTCGGTTAAAATGTCGTCCTAATGCTGCAATCCAACAGCAAGTCAATATGGTAAACATGGTGCACGTAATATTTCTTTAATATAAGACTTATAAAGCATTGAGGTCATTACAGCAATACCAAAACTTTAGAAGAACCAAAACAAAAAGAAAAAAACAGAGAATGGTGAGTGGAAATTATAATTTGTATAAAAGAAATATACGAGTAAGTTGTTCTATATATTGCTACCATTAAGAAACAGTCTTTATGGTAGCAGTATAATCTCGTTTTATTAACATTTTTGTTATTTATAAATTGAGATAAGAGAAGCACGGACTTCTTCGGGCTAATACTATAACATAGATAGGGATGACCTCCTTTGTGAGTGATACAGTGAGTCCTACAACCATACAGCAGTCTGTTAAGTCATTTGGCTAAACATTACACACAATATGTTATTAAAGGTTATTATAAATACTTAAATGAGCATGAATACAACAAATTCCAACCGTTCACTAAATATCTCTATATTCCATTAGAATAATAATTATCAATGTGTAAAATATTCTGTAAGTGAGAAAATGCTTGTTCTTTTCTTAAAGATCTTTTCTTAAAAACCCTAAAGCTTATACAACTTAAAAATTCTTACTATGCTCATGCTCAATTATGTATTATAAAAGTTGTCTATAACAATTTCCGTTAGCAGGAAAATTCTGTAGAAAACAGTGTAGCTGGGTGGCTCAGCGACCAGAGTGCTCACCTAGTAATCAAAAGATCAACGGTTCGATTCTGAGATAAGTATGTCTCTTTTTTATAGTTCAAAACTGGACACAGCTGTCCTTGATAATTGGACCCTAATAAAGGGCCCTGAATAATGAAACAGTTTGTAAGTTATACACGAGGCATCTTACTTCAATCTTTACTCATATTTTGGGTTGAGATACGCACACAGGTGGCATGCAATTATCAAATAATAATGATGATAATTTCGGGAAATGCTTGATGAAAAACAAATGCCTATTTTGATATGTTATCATGTCATAATTTATTGCAAACATGACATGCTTTTTTAAAGTTTGTTTAGCCAACAAACCCTCTGTTGTTCTATTTTTAATGTCTTATAGTCATAAAAAAAATTCGTAGTCAATAGTACCAGCACTAATTACTAGACTACCCTTTTCATTTGCTATTCATAAGAGATATACTAGAAATATATGAATGAAACAAAAATAGTTTCTTCTTATCGATAAAACAGAGAAGACTTTTATAACAGTAACTTCAACGATATAATGGGTTAAAGTGTGATTTACTGTTTTTAATTAAATAAAGATAGGAGAAGGAACTAAAATGAAATAAAACTGGGTTATCAGAATAACATTTACTGCACGTTTGTTTAAAAGCTAGTATTTGTTGGCTCGATACAGGGACATTAATGTTATCAAGATGTCCCGGCTTGGCACACGTTATCGGTGTTAATGGTACTCCAGTGACTAACAGCATTCCAATATTATCAACAAACCATCAGCCGGGAACGCATTATGTCTCAATTGCCGCTCTCCACTACTGCGTTTTTAATTTAATTTTAAATAACATGTATCGTTATTTAGAACCTAAAAAAAATCGTTTTAAAATATTTTGTTTAAAAGTAAAATATGAAGGGTATTACACTATAGAAGGATATTATTGATCTACTTTTTCTAGTGATTAATCTATCAGCCAGAACCTGCAAATAAAGTGATTATATCAATTAATCAATCAAATAGTTCCGTGATTATCGATAAAGAATATTAAACTCAATTTCGAACAAGTACGCTAATCTCCATAACAGAAGGATAATATACAAAATAAATACAACGTATTTTTGCTTTCATAATTTTTTCCAACACATATAAACTGTTTAGCTAGTTTATGAAAACTTTCATTTCTTCATAATAAGAGTAATGTTTTCAAACTGGCGGCTGATTCTCTCCCTCTCAGCTGAAGGAAGGTGTTGAGATACTTTCTTCGTCTTGGCTCTCTTAAGGGCGTTAGTTAAGAAATCACTGTCTCTCAGGTCGATGTCTTCTGTTTTATTTCTCTTGGGATATCGTGGATCGACTAGCTCTGGCAGCAAACAGTTCAAGTAGAACCTGCAGAATAAACATCAATGACATACTGTTCTCTCACTGAAACCAACATTTAACTTGCAAAACCTTTCAATAATGCACTAGGTATTGTGGATATTTATAGGTATGCACTGTGGATGGGATACTCCCTGGTGTGGATTAACGTCCGCACTAGTGAGTATTACGACTATCCGCAGTACTATCCTGATAATTAGACCAATTCGTATATACCAAGGAAAAATTTGGTTCGGATTCCACTATAAACTGTAGGTCCCTTAGTTGCCATTAGCTGTTTGGGCTATTAATTAACAGCTGTGTCTAAGGAATGTCGGCCTTAGTCACTAACAAGACTACAAGATCGCGCCACTCATACTACACTCATCTCCATTCATACTTGGCTTAAAATACCTACATTGTATGGTCGCCATTTCATAAGAAAGTATAAAAGTATTAAAAGTATTAAAGTATAAGGTTGACACTTGTATTGAACAGTTACTACGTAGATACTGCATATTTTGATAACAGTACTCTGCAAAAATTAATAAATTTATCAACAATATGAATGTAAAAATGGGTTTTAAAAGTTAGGACCAAATTTAGGATGAGATGCATTCAATTATATCACATGCTGTATTTAGTTAATCATCCTTTATATATTTTTCGGGGGTTAATTATTTTTAACGACCTTTTTCAAGGAAATCAATGTTAAAGAACTATTTGTTGCAGAATTGGTCTAGTTTCAACCGTATTCGCTCTTTCACACTCCTTCAAGAGAAACACCACCTTTTAAGTTTGTTAACCATCCTCTCCTGCCAGAACTGGTCGTCCCTAAGGATCACTTCGTAGTGAGTCCATCGCTCAGTGTAGACGAAGAAGTGGCACTTTGCTCTGCCAGTGATGTGCAGTTGGCCTTGTATCTGGTAGTAGTAGAGAGATCGTCTCTTTAACCACACAGTGCCGTTGTTCACCGCAGACAAGTAAGGCACCTAAAGCACTATTGAAGGCATTACTGTACAAACCATATAGATATAGGGTTCAGATTGAAGAATGTATTATATGTTTTACCATCTACAGTTTTCGAGCGGCAACGACGTACTTTGCGTTCAATGTACGCAGCACAAACAGCTATTATGAACTTGAACTGTATTTTTAATTTTCCCATATATGAGATAAGATATTATCATAGTTCTTATGGTTAGTCCTAGACTCGGAATCTAGTTACTTTTTTATGTCTCCAGAGGGTAAAACCATCCGCCTTTTAACTAAATTCTGTATACACGTTTAAGCTTACATTCATTAAACGAGTTCCCGAATCAGCATGATCGGACTATGGAAACGAGGTTTTATGGGGTAAACATAGTATTTCCCCCTTATGCTCTCTAAAACATTAAATGTTGAAATATATTTCAGATTTTTTTCATTAGCTTAAATAGACTTATAATTTAAAACGTATACTAACAC